TCCCAGGGCTCAAACATACTCTCCAACCCTCACAGTATCCCAGGAATGAAATTTCTTCCCTCCTACACTCCTCCCCACAGACCTATTTTGTAGGTCCTTTCCTCCTTCCCCATCCCAGAAGTTTCTACCCCTTCCTGAGTGCCTCTGTAATCTTTGCAAACAAATGTGGCCATTAATAGGCAAGAGGTTTAACTCCTTCCTTCCCTACCCAGGACCAAGGTCTACATATCCTCTCACCATTGTGTTCCTTTTCATTATTAATACTACATGTGTGTCAACTGAATAGTAACTTTGGAAATTAAATGCTGAATGCTTTCCATTGTTCAATTTTTTGTGGGAGACATCTCTATCATGTGACAAAGCCGGAATTGGCAGCTGGTGCTTGAAGGTAGGTATATCAGCCTTAGAATGGTTAAAGCCCTTTTTCCTATAAGCTGAAAAGAAGTTAATTAGGGATACCGGAGACCAATTAAGGCCCTCCTATGACCTTTAAAATCCTCTTCCAGTGAGAGAGAGGGGAAGGAAGGAGAGAGAAGAAATAGCTATAGAAGATTTAGATGCAGCAGGGAAGGAAAGAGCTATTCTCTTCACTACAGGGGAAATATTGAGTTTACCACTGTGTGGGGATGGGCTGGCAACCAGGAGCCAGCATAATATGGGTCAATGCCCTGGTGAAAGCAAGGAAATTTATGTGTGTGTGCTGGGGGTTTGGCTGAAGAAAAGCACTTGGGACAACCCTGAAGCCTATTTTGTGAAATGGTAAATAAAACACTGTTAAGAACTATAAACCTCTGGAGACTGATTGACTTGCCCCTCTGTCATAAATATAAAGGGAAGGGTAACCACCTTTCTGTATACAGTGCTATAAAATTCCTCCTGGCCAGAGGCAAAATCCTTTCACCTGTAAAGGGTTAAGAAGCTCAGGTAACCTGGCTTGCACCTGACCCAAAATGGCCAATGAGGGGACAAGATACTTTCAAATCCGGAGGGGGGGGGAAGGCTTTTGTCTGTCTGTGTGATACCTGTGCCGGGAACAGATCAAGGATGCAAGCCTTCCAACTCCTGTAAAGTTAGTAAGTAATCTAGCTTGAAAATGCATTAGATTTTCTTTTGGTTTTTGGCTTGTGAAATTCGCTGTCCTGGAGGGAATGTGTTTTCCTGTTTTTGTAACTTAAGGTTTTGCCTAGAGGGATTCTCTACGTTTTGGATCTGACTGCCTGTAAGATTATCTTCCATTCTGATCTTACAGAGTTGTTCTCTTATCTTTTTCTGTTCTTATAATAAAATTCTGTTTTTTAAGAATCTGATTGGGTTTTTTGGGTCTTAAAAATCCAAGGCTGGTCTGTGCTCATCTTGTTTATTCTCAAGCCTCCCCAGGAAAGGGGGTGTAAGGGCTTGGGGGGATATTTTGGGGAAATAGGAACTCCAGTGGTCCTTTCCCTGACTGTTTGTTAAATCACTTGGTGGTGGCAGCATACCTAATCCAAGGGCAAAAAAATGCCTTGGAGAAGTTTTAACCTAAGATGGTAAAAAGATGATAAAAATGGTAAAAAAGATGGTAAAAATAAGCTTAGCGGGTCATTCATGTGGGTCCCCACATCTGTACCCTAGAGTTCAGAGTGGGGCAGGAACCCTGACACCCTCCAATCCAGAGAAAGAACTGCTGCAGCTGATGTGGCTATAGAGATGTTACCACAATAGATAATTCTGTAGACAACCTTGTATAACTAAGTCATTTTTTTCCTCCTGTAAGAATTATTTATAACCTTATTTTGGGAAGCAAAATAGGTTTACATTAGTTAGAATTTAAAATGTTTATCTGTTGGAAATTTTTAATATGGGTAATAATTTTACTTTCTTTTGGGGGGGGGGTGTTTTTGTTTTGTTTTTTAAGAATCCATGCAAATGATCTACATGGTCACATTTTTCATAATACATTATAATTAAAATTAATTTTAAGTGAGTTGATGTTCTGTGTTACTGATCTCAAAAGAGGCAATTCCTTTCGGGCCATATTCTGAAGGGCTTCTGTAGGTATTAGGTTTTCCTGGCAAACATTATGATAGCTTTTATATAGCCAGACTGATTAGGCTACAGAGCCAGACAGGTCATTTTTGTATCTGTGTTTTAATCAAGACCCTATGTATGCTGTGCATGTTGAATGTAAGTTCTGTGGTAGGCACGCCAGTCTGACAGAGTAGATATACTGTGCAGCTTCATTTAACTTTTTTTAAATTGAGGTTTCTATTTAGTTGTATGAAAATCAATAATAGAAACAGAATATTCCCAGTGTTACTGATTTTTCATATTGAATTTTACACCATTGCTCTATTTTCAGTTTTCCATTTCTCATTTGTTTAAAAAAATCCATAATTGTGGTATCAAAAAGAAAGGTGGAGGTTTTGGCAGCTGGGCAGGGCAAAAGTGGGGCTTTTGGCACCTGAGAAAGCATGGGAGATAATCTGCACATAAGCACATTACTTAGGTTGCAAGTTTCTGCTCAAATCATCAGCAATTACATAACTAACAATGTTAACATTTAAATTGTCATCTTTCAGAGTTAATAATCCCTCAAGATAAACAGGGGAAGTAAAACCTACAGGGCCCTCTGTAAATTAAGAAAATGTGCACCTCTGTAACAACATTAACTAATTGCACTAGTGCACCTTGTCTTAATATAGACAGGACCTTAGTATGTCGTTTTTTTGTTGGGTTTTTTCCCCCCCAGACTCTCTGAGAGCTCAGGAAGACAATGTATCCTTTACATTTTTAAAGTTTTCTTCAAAATCACGGCTACAAGTTTATTTTTAATTGAATATTAGATTCTGGAGCACAATTATTTTTATTATGGTAGACCCTAGAGGACCTATGACACCACTGTGCTAGCTACTGTGCAAACAGAGTAAAAGAAGGCTCCCTGTCTTAAAGAACTTACATCTAAATATCCAAAGGAGGGGGAGTAGAGACATACAAATAGAGTAAATAACATAATGGTTTGCCAGCATCATGTTTGTTTGGGGATTTTTTAATAATTTTGGATGCGTTTTTCTCCATTAAATGAATTATAGGACAGGGGTATGTAAGGGAAAGAAGGAGAGAAAAACATAGGACACATGGAGTAAGACTCAGGTGAAAAGACAGCAGGAGCTAGCAGCTAGTTAGCAGTGGAGAAGGAATGTTCAGAAAAAAATCTGTAGAAAGCAATCTGATGTCATCTATGTGGCCTGTTGAGGCTGTTTCTTGTGTTTATTCCTGCTGGGTAGAGTTTCTCCTATATCTTGTGCTGGATCCTCACTGGAGTTTTTCTTCTCCAAGCCAATTAGGCAAGGTGTGCCTCATGGATCCTATTGCTGCTGGAAAGGCTATAGTCTCACCTGCAAAGTTCTGGGTGTAGCAGACACTGTTAGAGAGAAGTAGCCCCAGCTGAGTCTCACCTTTTCCCTTGATGATATGCTGCTGAAATACCTGAAGAGGCTACTTTTTGTTAGTCATAAGGGTAAATTTGGCAAATTCTGTGGCCACAGAATCTCACAGTATATCAGGCCCTGATTTTAAATGAATGTATAAGTGTCCAGAGCTGGGGACACTGTTTAGTATTAAAAGTAAATAAAAGGCCTAGAGGAGGTACAAGATAGCTGAGACACGGATGCCATTAGGTGAATAGTTCTCCAAACACAAATTCAGAGGAACCCTTCCCATGCACATTCCCCAAATTCAGATCACCCTCAGTCTTCTTCTGTCGGTGCCTGCTTCATCTCTTCCACCTTGTCCACCTCTCTGGAAGAGCAGAAAGGCTCATTTCTTCTCCCCCCGTCCCACACTTTACCCCCAACTTCACAGATGGCATCTCTTACCACTCTCTGTGTCCATTAAAGGCTCTGTGGAGCAGAGGAGAACCTAATCAAGTAGCTTGGTATTACAGTGACATTTATTTTTGTTTCAGAGTAACAGCCGTGTTAGTCTGTATTAGCAAAAAGAAAAGGAGTACTTGTGGCACCTTAGAGACTAACCAATATATCTGAGCATAAGCTTTCGTGAGCTACAGCTCACTTCATCGGATGCATACTGTGGAAAGTGTATAAAAAGATCTTCTACACTTTCCACAGTATGCATCCGATGAAGTGAGCTGTAGCTCACAAAAGCTTATGCTCAAATAAATTGGTTAGTCTCTACGGTGCCACAAGTACTCATTTATTTTTGTGGCACTAGGAAAGTAGGCAACTCTGTATTCAGGTGTGTTTTTATTTGAGAAGAAGGGCAACCAAATAAACAGGATTTAAAAGAGCCACTAAATTTTTTCCCACCTCCAATGTAGCACTTCAGCAAGGGGGGTTGGAGATCTCAGGTTTTCCCATCCCTTTCTCTGCTACCTCTGTCTATAGGACTACCAGATCCAAGGAGTACAACCATGCTGGAAGCCAAATTTCTACTTCTCTCATCATTGGTAGAAGTAGAAGCTCCCTGCAGAATTTTCTGTGCTTATACATCTCTCAAATACCAAGGGGCAGAGCAACACAATGGCAAGGTTTTCTGTGAGCCCATCCAGTTAGATGTTAGAACCCTGAATGAAACTGCTGAATAACTTCAGACTCATAATGACAGGTGTGGCTTTTAACTCCCTAAAGCTACAAGGGAGGTGAAAGACTTTCTGAACAAAGGGAACTAGGGTCTGGTGTAGAAAGGTTTCTGCAGGGAAATTTTAGAAACAGCCAAGTTTGGGGGAAGAAGCTCAGAGTGAGGTCTACATTTGCTAGTGTTGTTTCAACTATCAGCAACAGCCAATTCCCAGGAAGAGAGAAATTTTGAATTATATATAACGTTCAGAGTAGGATGGGCACACCACTTCTTCACAAGAAGACATTACACTACTGAATGAGGATAGTTTTTTTTTTTAAACAGTGAATCAGGTCAGATTGTGAGTATAACCAGAATTAGCTTCATATAAAGTTCACCAGATTTTGTATTATAACCAGTACTTTTTTTATTCTGTTCACTCTTACCCTGCTGCCTGAACTCCTGATAGGGAAGATACTTCAGCATTCTCAACAGGTTGTTTTCTCTCCAGTTTTGATAAAAATCTCTTTCTGGACTCCGGTATTATTTTTTCTTTCTGTAAAATTTTACACAGTAAAATTAAAATAATCGGAAATGTTCTGCAGCAAAGAACAGTACCAGGGCTTGTGTACAGAGTCTATTGCAGGCAGGCAGACAGTAGCAAGCTAACAAAACTGAAAACGGGAGTTTGAGTGGGATGTTGAAGGGGAATTTGTGTGTCTCTTTTTTTCTTTTTCTTCTTCTTGACAGAAGCTTGTGAGGGAGGCTATGATAGCTATAGAGGTAGTGACACAAAGAATGGAAGAGAAACTGAAGATAACTGGATGTGGAAGCTGCAGGATGTACATTATTGGAGATGCAGCTAGAAACTATGATTGAGTTTGAGGGGGACTTGAGAGGGTGATGGAGAAAAGGGGAGAGAAGGCTGAAGGGAAAACTCAAGACTTGCATGTATGCTGGACTAGAAAATTGTGAGGGTAGCAAGCTGGATGAAGAAAGAAGTCTGTGGAAGCATGTGACTACAAGAACAAGGCAGAGGAAAAGACCAGCTAGCAAAGGAGAAAGAGCTCAGGACAGGTTTGCTGAGCTGGAAAATAAAGAGGACAGGCAGGCAGTAACAGAAGATGAGAGCAAGGAAGAAAAGAGCAGCCAGTCCTACAACAAAGCCAGATTTTGTAGCCCCAGGAAAATAGAAGATTACCTGCAGAAGTCTGAAACTGAGAACAGAAGACAAGAAGACTTGCAGCCAGAAAGAACAGAAGGAGGAAGGTCTGAGAGTTGCACCAATACCAGAAACAGGCAGATCTATGTGACTGGGGATTCCCTACCAAGAACAGTCAGGCCTGTCAGCTGAGCTGATCTGGAGAAGAGAAGATTGTGTTGTCTACCTGGGGCTAAGATATTGGATGTGGCTGAAAAGAATCCTAATGGGAGCGGAAAAGAATCAACTGATTGACCTCCACATGGGAACAAATCATAGTGTTAGATGCTTGCTGGGCTGCAACAAGGAACACTACATCAGGCTGGGAAAGTTGCTCAAAGGAAGGGAAACTGAGGTTATCTTCAGTGGGATTCTACCTGTCCCTTGAGGATGACAGCAAAGGCATGACAAGATTATGATGATCAACTGATGGCTAAAGTAATGGTGGTATAAGGAGGGCTTTGGAATGTTCAACCACTGGGAGGCATTCACAGACAGAGGATTGTTCTCATGGGATGGACTCCTGGGATGGAGGTTGGCACAACTGTTTAAAAAAGCTTACAACTAAGAATTCAGAGGAGATGGTTGAGAGATGCTCATGTAATCTCCACACCCAATTCTAATATTGAGTGGGAGGCAAGTCAAGTAAGAGTATACAGGAATGGGGAAAGGAACAACAAGGGGAGAGTGTAGGAGAATGGACAACAAGAGGAAAAACCATGCCATTGCCAAGGACAGTAACAATCAGGTGGTAATACTGGCAATAAATGACTATACCTAATCTGGAGAGGAAGCTGGGTGAGGCTAAGCAGAAACAGCTAAAATGTCTGTACACCAAAGCACAGAGACCACATAACAAAATGGAAGAATTAGAGCTACTGGTGCAGGAAGTGAAATAAAATATTATAGGGATATTGGAAACAGGGTTGAATAGTAGTCATAACTGGAATACAGCTAGTGAAGGGTATGTGCTGTTGAAGGAAGAGAGAAATAAAGGTAAAGGTCATGGTGTTGCATTGTATATTAATGATGAGGTAGACCAGAAAGAAATTAGAAGTGATGGAATAGAGAAAACTGAATCTGTTTGGGATAAAATCACTTTAGGGGAAAATAGTAACAGAGATTCCACGGGGATAGTGGTTGGGGAGGTCTGCTACAGACCTGCAGAATCCAATTTGAATAGGATAAAGACCACTTTAATATTTTTAATGAAATAAATACTACTGGGAATTGTGTAATTATGGATTGTGCATAACTTCCCAGATATGGATTAGAGGACAAATTCTACTAATAATGGTAGGGCCCACATAATCCTGGATGTGATAGCAGTCAGATTTCTTCACTAAACAGTCATCCAACATACAAGAAGTGATGCCATTTTATATTTAGTATTGGTAAGTAGTAGGGACATCACAGAAGAACTGATTATGGATAACCTTGATTCAAGTGATCATGAGTTAATTCAGTTTAAACTAAATGGAAGGATAAACAAAAATAAGTCTTCAACTAGGGACCTTGATTTCAAAAGGGCAAACCTTAAAAGTTTAAGGGAATTAGTTAGGGAAGTGGACTGGATTGATGAACTCAAGGATCTGAATGCGGAGGAGGCTTAGAATTAGTTTCTGAAACTTTGATTTAAAGTATCTGGAGCCTGCATCTCAAGCAAGAGGGGCAATTTTGTAGAGAAGAATTGCAGACAAAACTGGGTGAACAAGCATCTCAAACAGGTTATTAAGAGAGAACAGAAAGACCATAAGGAACGGTGGAAGGGATAGATCAGCAAGGAAAGCTACCTCTTTAATGTCAAAGGGTAGGGGGAAAGCAAGAACTTCCAAAAGCCAAGCAGAGCTGTACCGTGCAAAAGAAATTAAAACCAATAATAAAAGGTTGTTTGAACGTATAAATAAAAAGGAAACTAGGAAAGAACAAGTGGGACTACTAAATACTGAGGACAAAGTTGAGATTAAAGATAATCTACGTATGGCACAACGCCTAAATGAATATTTTGCCTCAATTTTCAGTAAGTGTAATGAGGAACTGGGGATAGTTGCAGGGTGGCTAAAGGGAACAAGGATAAGGAAATAGAAATGATCATATCCGAGGTAAATGCCGAACTAAAACAGCTTAATGGAACCAAGTCAGGGGGCCTAGATAATCTCCATCCAACAATATTAAAGTAAGAGGAGGTTACTCACCCTGTGCAATAACTGACGTTCTTTGAGATCAGTGTCACTGTGGGTGTTCCACTTCAGGAGTAGGGGTCAAGGTCTGTCCCAGCACCTTTGATCGGAGATTTCTACGGCAGTACCCCTACAGGCCACGCACGCACTGTGCCTGCCTCACGAGCTGTCAGTGTTTGAATAGCGCGTGCACAGCCTGGGCTCCTCAGTTCCTCCTCTACAACGGATTGCATTCCAGATTCTGAAGTAGGGGGGAGGAGTGCGGGTAGTGGAGCACCCACAGGGACACTCATCTCGAAGAACGTCAGTTACTGCACAGGGTGAGTAACCGCCTCTTCGAGAGAGAGAGAGAGATGTTCCTGTGGGTGCTCCACTTCAGGTGACTGAAAAGCAGTATCCCTTAGGATGGTTGGGACTTCAGATCAGGTAAGAAGGCTGTTGAGAAGACAACTCTACCCATCCTGGTGTCAGATGCTGCTGTGTGCATGGGATCATAGTGATTGGCGAAGGTAAGGTCTGATGCCCAGGTAGCTGCCTTGCATATGTCAGAAAGCGGGACATTATGAAGAAAGGCAGTGGAAGTGGGAGACAGCTGTAGCAGAGTGTGTCCTAATTGATGTAGGGGGTTGTATGTGCTTCAGTTGGTAGCAGAGACGTATGCAGTCTGCAATCCATTTGGATAGTCTCTGGGTAGAGACAGCTTTTCCCTGTGATCGCTGAGTGGTAGAGATGAAAAATTCAGGGGTTTTCCTAAACGGTTTTGTTCTATCCAGGTAAAAGGATAGTGCTCTGTGCACATCAAGAGTGTGCATTGCTGTTTCAAAAGCAATAGCATGGGGTTTTGGGGAAAATGTTGGTAGGTATATTGGCTCATTGAGGTGAAAGGAGGAGTGCATCTTAGGCAGGAACTTCGGGCATGTGCGGAGTGTGACCTTATCACGGAAGAATGTGGTATATGGAGGTTCCGCCATGAGTGCTCTCATTTCTCCTACTCGTCTGGCAGATGTGATTGCTATCAGGAAGGTGATCTTTATGGATAGGTGGCGAAGGGAGCAGATAGCCATTGGCTTAAAGGGTTTATCCATCAGGGCTTTGAGGACTAGATGGAGATCCCAAGACTCAGCAGGTGGTTTTACGTCTGGATATAATGTTTGGATGCCCTTCCGGAACCTTTTGGTTACTAGATGGGCAAAGACCGTAGTGGTGTCGATCTTATGGTGAAATGCGGTGATTGACATGAGGTGGACCTTGAGGAAACTCGTGGAGAGACCTGGTGTTTTAAGGTCTAGCGGGTAATCCAGTATCAGTGGAAGTGGGGTGGAAACTGGGGAGGTTTGTTTGGCTGTACACCAAGATGTGAACCTCTTCCATTTATGTAAGTAAGTAGTGCACGTGGTACGTGTCCTCACTTGTTCTGAACATGCTAACTCCTCATTAGAGAACCATTGATTAGCAGGCCCTCAGGTGGAGTCGCTGTATGTCGGGGTGAAATAGTTGGCCCCTGCATTGTGATAGAAGGTTGCTGAGGGGGGAAAGGGGAATTGGTGGCTTGACCAACATCTGCATGAGGAAGAGATACCATGGTTGTCTGGGCCAGGATGGGGCTATTAGAATGATGTTGGATCTGTCTGTTCTTATCTTCTGTATTACTCTGTTCAACAGAGGTACTGGTGGAAATGCATACATGAGTGTCGGTCCATGGGCGCATGAAGGCATCTGCTCAAGAGAGTTTCCCCAGGATGGCTCTGGAGCAGAATGTCAGGCATTTTTTGTTTATTGCCATGGCAAATAGATCTAGTTGAGGATAACCCCAGGTCTGGAAATGTTGGATAGGATGGCATCGTTGAGTTCTCACTCGTGCTGTATGGGAAAGGATCAACTGAGCTAGTCTGCGGTGGTGTTCTGAGAACCGGGCAGGTATGAGGCTGAGATCTGGATGTTATGTTGAAGGCAGCAATTCTATAGTTTTACCGCCTCTGTGCAGAGGGAGTGTGACCGGGCTCCCCCACATCTGTTCACATAGAACATGCATGCAGTGTTGTCTGTCATGATCCAAATTCTGCGGTTTTGGATAATGGGAAGAAAATGGATGCAGGCATTGCGTATGGCTCAGAGCTCTAGCAGATTTATATGAAGCTTGGTTTCCATAGAGGACCAGAGGCCCTGAGTGGTGAG